CTTGACTTCGATGTCCAAAGTTCTTAATTTAAGATATGTTAAATCTCCACCAGCTGTTCTTCAATCCGCACTGAGGTGCAAATCTTGTCAAACTATTTCACTTTACTTACTGAGAATTTTGCAGAAACAAGAAAAGTGCGAGGGAGCGCAGTACCGCGGTTGCTGTCCTCGGCGCCCAAGATCACAGAGGAGGTTCACAGATGCTCTGAAGGAGGACACGGATAGGGTTGGTGTGAATAGGAGCAGCACAGTGGCGTGGTTCTTAGTTGGAGCCACCTAGTCAGGGGCTCTTCGTATGGATTTTGCATGTTTGCGTTGGTTCCCTTCGAGTACTCCGGCTTCCTCCCACAGTAATTGGTAATAAGTGGTAATTCCTAATTGCCCCTAGGTGTGAATGGTTAGTCTGCCTGTCTATTTGTTTATTTATAAGGAAACCCATTAGCTTCCACAACAGTGGTTGCTCGTCTTCCTGGGGCCCAAACCATCAAATACCATCGAATAAAATGTTACACAATGAGTTGGATGCAAAATATCCACATCATTTGGCTCTTACTTCCACAATAAGGTTTTACAATTCTGAAAATATAAGCTTGTAAATATTAAAAAATATAAAAACACTCAAACAAAATACACAATTTCCATTACAAGTGACATTACCCTCTTACAACATTTACAAATAAATTAAAAACTGCCTTAATAGACTTTTAGGTGATTTTTAAAATTATGAATAGAAGCCAATTCTCTAATTGCATAAGGCGACTTATTCCACTGATGCTCTAAATATAACAGAGTTTTTCAAGAAGTTACTTTTAACTCGAGGAGTTACTAAATTGTGGTTCGTTGAGAATCGTGTAGCATGATTATGTATCTGGATGATGCAACTGAGCATAAAAACGTGTGGTGTGTTTACCAGTATTGCTTTCTTTAAAAATACAAGTAAGCCATAGTATAATTTAGCTTGTACAGAAAGCCAAGAAAGTTTATTGTGCATTTTATCAATACTTGTATAATATGAACACCTTAACACTAATCCGGCCGCCTTGTTCTGGACTAACTGAAGTTCAGATCTGTCTTATTAGCTGCTGACCAAATGATTGAGCAGTTCTCTAGATGAGATAATACTAGTGCATTAATGACATCTTTCTATGTCTATGTTTGGCCTGCGACAGACTCAGGGTATACCTGTCCAGGAACAGGAATAATAACACTTGCTGCTCGTCCTTCATATTCCCTGCTGGCTGTGTGGTTTGACTCTTACACTTGGCACAGCGTCCACTGTCGTGCTCCAGTGTCCGGCTTCGCTGACTGACCTTCGTCCCACTTTCCTTCAGCCGAGCGGCCTCCTCTTTGGCACACACCCCGAGCTCCTGGGTGTAGCGCCCATACATCTGCGAAAAAACACCGGCATCCATTTAGCTTTCAAAAAACAAACGCATTAAACATGTCCCAAAAATGGGCGGTGTGATGTAAAT